TTGTTTTTCTTCGTTTTCTCGTCGACTGCCAAGTTTATTCTCTCTGCTTCTTCGTCGGAACGGAATCGAGAATATACCGCTTGTTTGACAATTCGAGTGTTCGAATTATTTCTTCTTTCGTAGAATAAATAAGTGTTGGTGGTAATTTTTTTTTGTTGTATGTGGATAAATCAGTGTTGCTTTTTGAAGTGACGTGTTTGTGCTTGATTATTATTTTGGATGCTCATTTAATACACAAAAAGTTGTCCACTTCGAATTGATAAGTGTGAGTATTTCGTATTGAACATTTTATTGTTAAAAAAATGTACGCCTTTTATTTAGTAATTTGTTGTTTTAAATTGCGAAACGTTTTTCATTAGAATCGGTATTTTAAAATGCCATCGGATTAACTCTATTTGTTTGCGAAAATTGCACCGTTTTATTTACCTATCCAACGTTATAAATTTTTATTTGTTTTATTACGAACGGATTTTTAGTCTAGTTTAAACAAGTCGTAAAAATTATCAACAATAAAAATTAATTCCGTGAAATAAATATGCTGTTATTGGGGATTTTTATTGTGGAAACGAGATTGTTAGGGTATAACTGTATTTCAAAAAATACGTGCGGCCTAAAAAGTCTCCAGAATTTCAAATCGTGAATAAATTGTTGTAGAAATTCCGACCACGTAAGTGAATTTTTTTAAACTCGATAAAACGTATGTATGTTTTACAAAATTTATTACAAAAACCGCTTAAATTTATTTAATTTAACAAGATCACGTCTGTTACCAATTCGATAAACTTTATCCACTCTAATCAAACGTATAAATTGTTCCAATTTTTGCTTAATTCCGATATGGAACGAATCCCTTTTTTATTTTCGTACATCCGAAAGTTTGCATACGAATTAACGAGTAGTAAAACATTAAATTAATCGCGCCGGTTTGTTGTTGTTTTTTTCGCCAAATTCGCCGTGCATAACTGCGGCAACATTAATTCCGGCATAATTCATTGAGTAGAATTTTACCCAACATAAATTTCGAAGCGATATGCATTAATTATTAACCGTTTCATTATTATTATTATTTCCATTTCCGAGCCCGTCGCGTTTCGTGCAACAAAGGCTAAAACATTCGTAATTAAATCAAATTGTTACTATCGATATGTCCCCGAATGAGCTTTATATACAGAATGTCCTTCATATTTTATTAGGTACTACAAAATTTGTAAGTTAACTACTGTTCAGGTGGTAAGATGGATATTATTTTATTTAGATAAAAGAAGCATTAAATTACGAAATATGATTGTTATCATATATGTTAGTCTCCATTTAATATTTACATAAACACCCCGAAATTAAATTGATTCTTTCTTTTCGTTGGGGTTCAGGTAGAATAAAAAGTTTGTTTGTCACTTCGGTGGATGACTGATGAAGCGAGCAGCGTCAAAAGATAAAATTTTAAATAAATTACGAGACGTTCCCAGAAAGGCGTAGCGGGTGGGCCCTTTTTTCCTTGCGGGCCCCATAAAATAAATATGACCAGTTTAAAATAAACGTGAATATGTAGTCTATGGTCGCTAGTCGAGTGGGATTCATTAAGCTTCCCTGACTAATCGACGTACAAAAAGAAAATGGGGTAATAAAAATTGTATGGGGCACGAGTTAAAAAGGGTAAATTTATGAAATTATATTGCCCCGGTGACAGATTATATTGAGGCGCGTTCACGAAAGAATTATTTCGGGCGGTAAAAGTATTGTGGATTAGTTTGAAATATTTATAGTGGGTCATCAAAGTAATTTCGAGGAGATAATTGATTATTTCCCAACGATAGTTTTTAATTTATTCACCCAAAATGGACGTTCTGAAATTTCAATTAATCCACAATTATTTTATATTTAAATTATTGAGTAACGAAATTAATTTAACCTACTAAGTTTGTTGCCCATATTCGTTTCAATCAAACAATCCATTTAATAGCTATGTTTCTTCATTTGATTATTAAAAATATAATTACAATATTTAATGAAACTTATTTATTATTGTGACAGAAAACATTAGAATGCAAAATAAATCGATTAAACTACATTTTCTATTCGTATAATCGAATGAAATTCAATCAACAATAAATCATAAACGTTCGCCGAGAAAATTCCCCTTTTCCCGTAATAATCAAATTTTCATTTCGATGTCGATTCCTCGACGCCGCTCTTTATTCCTATACACAGTTTTGTTTTTCCCGATTATTTTTTTTGTTATTTTTTGTATTCGTTTTCCATTTTTCCCGTCGACAACAATCGCGCGTTATCGTGACCAATCGAATCGATGCAATCGCAGCGAACGCGAAAATGTAATTTTCCTTTAACAATCAGCCCGAACGGGCGGCAACAGAGCGGGAATTTTCCTAACTTTTCCGATGGAAAATTATGTATCGGTGCGCCGGAGAAAAGAGGACGTGCACGTACCAATCAACGGGCGACTCGATTATATCCCCAATTAACCATTTCGAATATACAGGGCGAGATTATTTACAACGAGATGATTTAATTTTTTTTGTATCGTTTCGTAATATTTTTTTCGGGGTAAAAAGGAGACGAAAAAATCCAATTAACGCGACAAATGGAATAATAACATTTGGGAAATTAAATATGTACAATATGCCCTTTCTTTCCGAAGGGGTGGTTCGTTTCGACTTTAATCTACAGAAATAACATTACGCGTTCTGTAATAACTACAAAGGGACACAGTGGCGAATTTACATTCGAAATGAAAGTGCGCGGGGGCGAAGGAGAAAGGAAAAACGGCGTAAAAGGTATAAGGTACGGGAAGCGGTAGGTGTGCCTCAACTTTTAGTCGAATTTCGGGTCGTTTACCTAAACTTTTAGGACGATGGAAGTCTTTGTTTCGGGCTTTGTAATTACCCTGAAGTTTGCTGGTTTACATATGCACATGTAGTGGTAAAAGATCAACAAAAACACCGAAGGTTTTGGGAGCAAATTAATGAATTTCGAATAACCTTATACTTGTTTTTCTTTCGCAAATTTGGGTCTTTTTGTTTTCAATCCATCGTTCTCTATATACTTTTGATTTACGTATTAAATCCCACTAAACTCTTCAGCATTCTCCAAGATGAGAATACCTCGCTACAGTAGAAAGAAAATGCGTATAACTATAAAATCATTTCGAAATTACATCTATTTTAAAGCCGGTAATTTTTTTTTTTCGAAAATACCTACCTACCACTTTAGGCGCCCGCTCTCGATTTCCCGAAAGCCTCGATTTAACTAACGCCATAATTGAAAAACTTATACACCAGCAACCGGAGAGTCGATTTCTTTCTTATGTTATTGCGTAAGCATAACTTAAGTGGATATTTTTCCAAGGTATTCATTCTCACACGGAGTATTATCGGGTTCGAGTTCGATGCTTATAATGCAGCAGCGGATTCCGGAATTTCATTTACACAAATCTCTTTTCTTTCGCTAATCTGGAGACATATTTGTTTATCTAATTCCTAGCAATAAAATTATTGGTTTTTATCAATATCACAACAATAAAATTATTGTACCTATAATACCACTTATTATACTATAGATTAGATTATTTATTGCACATTCTAGATTATGGACCTAGATAGTGCATTATTGTTCTAGTTTAAAGGTTGTTTAGTTGTGGAGTAGGTAGGTTTTGATTTTTTTTGTGAGGTGTATCGGGGCGAGTCCTTTCCTGCGCGTATAATGCATGTGTCCGTGAAGATTCGAATCGACTGATAATGCTAAAGGCAAAAGGTATTAACCATGCGAGATGAAATTTCGAGACAGCGCGTTGTATACATTTAAATGAGGCAAATTTGACAACATGCCATTTCGGAACAGTTACATCTAGATAATCCCAATAGGTATGGGAGACTATCCGGCGAGCTTCTAATGGAGGCGCGGAAAAAAATATTAATCCTCGAGGATTCCTCGCGATTTTTTAATTCGTCGCGGAGATTCCGATCGGATGCAAATATTCGTCGTTAGTGTAGGGTAGGGCGGGGCTAGTTGAGCATACGGGTAAGTTGTGCAATCGAAATATCTCGCAAACTATTCACCGTACGCATAAACATCTTATGGCGGAAAGAAGGGGTCGGGGGAGACCTAATCACAGAGCTATTGCAAGTGGCGCCTCGACAAGCGAGTAAAGCCCCCGTGCGTTTTGTTTATTTTGTGACCAAAAAGTAAAAACGTCGTCTATCGCAAGTTTTCGTCTGTATTAGTCAAATATTATCCGTTTTCAATGGGGTAAGGGTTAATATTCCAGAAAATTATTGTACTTTTGATATGTAGAGATGTTCTGGTTATAATTCTTACGGTTTCTTTATGACCTCACTTTTATTTTAAAATTGCGGGTTGGGGTTAGTTGAGCAACTACTGCGAAATTTACCAGGAGAAAGTTGGATTCACTGCCAAGCTTGCAGGGAATGGGCACAAATAAAATGTCTTCCAGGTGCTATGGTCTTACTTTCATTTGTATTAATTGCAACAGTAACAACGACCAAAACTTGCTAATATATTATTAATATTTTTTTAAGCTATTTAATTCTGATTTTAAAAAGAAAGCTCGTAAATTACTTTAAGTTTTGTTGTTTTGTCACTAAATCACAATAAATAAAGAGATGATTATAAAAATAAACATATCCTATATGTAAACATACCGTTGATCAACTTACCTCACCTATGGGGTACATTGAGCATACTTGACTTTCTGCATTTAAACAGCTGTAGCTCTTAAATTCAACTAGTTACAAAAAAGTTACTATGGACACTTTTGTTAAGGGATAAATTACTAATCCATCAAGCCACATAACAAGTCATTCACACATATCATTGATGAGCTATATCCGCTAAAGTGAAAAGTTGCTCAACTAGCCCCGCCCTACCCTAAATGTATTTTTTTTTGTTACAGAATGAAGTAGCCGACGACGTCTGGAAGTCCGCCGATCAGGGCCGGACGACCAAAAAATTCCGACACGTCCGCCATGGGTTTGACGAGGCGCATTTTACTTCTTTTATGGGCAGCCTTTACTTATTACAGAACTAATGCCGAACAAGGTAAGCCTTTTTTTTTCGATTTCCATGTAATTTTCAACCGAAAACTCGCAGATCTTATACCTATTACATTTAGAATACTGCTCCTTGTCTTTATTAGATTAATTTGTACGTTAACTTCGAACAAATAGGGCTATTTTAGTTTCGAGTAAATCATTCCAACGAATTTATGGTTACCGATAACTAAATGTCATCGCTAGATTAACTTAAACCGTCGTTTATCTGAAACTTTATCGCCTTTAATACGAGAATGTTAGGCAGATGTCGCGTCTTTAAAACGCTAAATTTTTTAATATACAGTATATCGTGCATTGCACAGATGTCGCATATTTATAGGTAATAGGTATTGAATTTTGGCACGAGTACACGAAAGGGGCTACATTACGAAATTTCATAATAACTTAATAATATTGGGCGCATTTTTCTACCATCAACCCGTATAATTTTCCGAGTTATTTTAATCGATTATTTAATTCGCCATCTCCCCGCATTTGTGTCTCTAATTTTCCCATTAACTTGCGCGGTTTATTCCGCAAAAAAGCCGATATCTAAACCAGTCTATTTAGTTCCACGAAGAAATATCGCGATTTCAATTAAAATTCCCGGCCGATAAAATTTAACGACCCTTATATTATTTGCGTTTACCCAACGGATTTAATGATTTATTTAAATATTCGCGGACGAATTATGCGAAGCTCGGCTCTCGTTACGAGTTACCTGTACACGCACGTGGGTCGAATACCTCAAAGTCCGGTTGATAAATAATTATTATAAATCGAGCCCGGCCCGATTAATTTTCCTTTGGTGGAATAAACAAACTTTTTTTTAATTGTCGATCGGGCGAGCGAAATCGGTATTGATTTATCGGGGTGTAGTGTTTGCATAATTTAATGTCGAAATGAAAATTAAGTTCGTATACTTGAAGAGGGTTTTTTTTTCGAGAAATTCTTTCGGAATATCGGATAAGTAATTAAATGATCTGATTATCCTAAAGGGGGTTTAACAGGGCTGATTATGTGCCTTGGCGTATGAAAGGAAAATAGCGAGACGGCCGGGCTTTTCTCTTAAAATTCCCGATTTTTCCCTTTTGTACGTTAAAGAAAAACAAGAGCAAACAAGCTCGGCTTCTTAGAGAAGCGACCTTTTGAATTATAATTTCTTACCCCTCTTTATTAAAAAGTTATTTAAATATTCGTCGCGGGGTTGCTAATTAGAAAGTTAAGTAATTGCAGCGAGTTTTTTTTTATCATCTTCACAGATCGGCTTTATAATCACTAAATTTTAAGTTTATTTTTTTGGTCGAGCAAAATGTTATATAAACTTTCCTAGACAATATTAAAATCGCGAGATATCCAATTAGCTACTTGCGAATCAATTAAAACGATGCACTATAAAACGATTATTAAAATACACCGTTTATAGCTTTGGGTCGGTTTTTTTTATAGACTCTAATAGAAAATTTCGTTTTAAAATATTCTCATTATCGCTTTTACGACTGCGCTGCCGCACAGTCGAAGACCAGCTTGTTGCTTAAAATTTTTTTTATAACCCACATCGTCCATTCGAACTTGTTCGGAGCCATTACGCTTTAACGTTAATTGTAATAGTAAAAAGAGCCGGATAATTTCAGGGTTGGATCGACGTAATTTTTACTAAACCGTTATAAAACGACGGCGTTTACAGCGCGCCGTTAATTCGGGAATTGATTAAATTTTAATTTTAATCCCCTAATGGGTGTAATGTATTTTGCGTCACCCTGTATATCGGTGTATAAATAGTATACAGGCATTGCAGTATTTCGGTCAAGCACGATTTCGTGCATTATGAACGAAAATAACAGGAAACACTCGTCTCTTTCGATTGCGAAATGTAACAAGAATACCTACGTTTAGTTTTTTTTAAATTGCAATTTAATGCATCGAAAAACGATTATAAAAATCGCGTTCGTAGTCAAAGTGTTGTAATGTACATTTTAGCAGATTAATTAGCGGTATGAGATAAGATTATTAATCGGTACAATAACCGTTTAGAACGTGTTTGGATAGTAAATAACAGCGTTCGAGAAAATGGCTTCATCGGGCGAGTTTCGTGAAAGGTCCTCTCTCATCGGAAGCCGTTTTTTACATTTTTTCCGAGGCATTTCGAAATTGTTTCGTTCGGGCGTTTATGAAAATTTATTCGACGTATTTACTCGTTATCTTTTCATCTGATTTCCAAGAGAGAGATATTTTATTAGGAAACTATTTCCAATTCACGCGCGCATATGCATACGCCATCTGTTCGCGCATTTTTTTCCGAACGAATGAAATTGTAACCAGTTTGTTTCCGCAGATTTTCGCGAGATAGTCGCGTTTAAACTTCAATATCAATTTAATTTACTCCTTTGCATTCGGACAGGCTACAACGTACGCCGGATCGGTTAAATCGCGTAACTCTCATTCAATTACGTAATTGTAGATGTATAGTTGTTGGGTTGGGCGAAAGGAATCGAATGAATTCCGAAAATTGGAAAAAAAATATCTCGATTAAAGCGTACACTTAATTACCACATCATTCCATTTTATCGTATGTTAGACTAATAAATAAATGGAACGCTTAAAGTTTAATCTGTTATTTTGATTTGTTTGCCCTTTATTCATCTTTAGAGGGATGATAACATAAATAATAAACACCACTTTATACCACACATGTGTTGTATCTTGAAGTTATCGGATTGTTTCATAACATCATCTTTACTAATCGATTTTTATTCCATCCACATTTTATTTTTTTCTTTTACTTCATTATCGTCGCGTTGATAGTGTGGGTTTTGTGTGTGTGTGTAGTGCTTGCATAGCTCACAGGAGGTTCACGCTGTTCCGAAATCGATTTATCGATTTATTTAAACTCCCATTTATCATGCACCGGACTCCGGTGTATGTGAAATGCGTATTTCAATAAACGATATCGTAAGTTGCGGAACGGTTAGTCAGCTCTAATCCCGCCGAAGGTGCATTTATTATGCGTCGGTATGTAAATTGATTTTTGCAGGAATCTCGGTAATAATAATCTCGGAAGAAGAAATTTAATAAAATGTTCGCGGGAAGATTAGCTCGTTCGAAGGAGGAGGTCCGAAAACGGCTCTTTACCGTACACAATATTAAAACAATAAATCTAAATTTGATTGGACGGGACTTTATAAACCGGACAAACTGTATTGTATGTTGATTGACGCGATTAAGCTCCCACATAAAATACCGCGGTCTCGGCTATAAAAGATTTACGGCCTTTGTTAGCTCGACAAAAAAAATACAAATGACCCGCGTTCGGGTCGTTTATTTACCGATGCGAATTTTGTTTTTTTTTTTATTATTTTTTCCGTTAAAGTTCTCCTTAAATTATCGATTAGCCATCTAATAGTTAGCCTTGGTGAACGAGAATCTGGAGAGCTTTTTGGCCACATTGGAATCCTATCCTCTGTAATTAATTTTTGTTGATAAGTTAGGCTAAAAAAACAGAGAATAAAACTCCGAGTTGATGATTTAAAACCCGGATAATTCGGATAGCATGTCAGTTATGTATTTTTGTAACTGTACAAATGGCCCTACTAATAGGAACAAGATTTCTTCTAGCTAGACGTTGGAAAAACGAATAAGTAACGTCAGCGAGTGAATAAATAGGCAGGCGTTTTTTTCGTGTATTTTTAGAAGCATCATTATTTTTAACAATTAATTAAAACTAGACTTTTCGTTAATAAACTATTCGTCTTTGTTGAGATGTTGACGGACCGTTCGATTTTTTAACCGTTTAATTGGTTTAGGAAAACGGAATGAATTACCGGCGATTAAAAAAAAAGGATTATTAATGCGTTTGATAATCGTTGGAAATTATGATGTATCGGTTGATTTTGATGCGTGTAGGGAATTTTAATAGGCCGAAATATTTAACTATTTAATTTTACATGTCGAATTTTCGACGCATCTTACAATGTTACTTTATGTATTTTTAATTCACCAAGCACAAATAATACGGCGATTCTTGTCACACATCTAATTTCTTCATTACTTCGAAATTGTTCGTGTCAAATTTATAATAACACGCCGCGCTCGAAATACACCGAAAATTTGATAATTGAGCCACTTTTTTTTCTGTAAAATAAAGGAAAAATATTTTATACCAATGTCCCTTGCAACCATCCAACCGAATAACACATACATCATTTTTTTCATTATATTTTTATTCCATACGGCCGTTCCATTGTTGAATTAATGTTATATTAAAACGATATTAAAAAGTCATCAAGGGGTTCACTGAAGAGCGACTCGCCAACAGTAGATTATTAACTTTAATAATCTTCCACTGTAATAATTTTCGAACTATCGAGAGGTACGCCGAGGTAAAATTTAATAGACTACTCGCTTATGAGACGAAGAGCATATTCGTTTTAGCTACGGAAAATTATAGAAATTATAACTATTAAAATATTTTCATTCCGATTACGGTTAATGGAGGTGTATCAATTTTTAGATTAATATAATAACAGCGTATAAATCGAAATGCGATTTAATAAACGCCGGAAAATCAAACAATCCCTCGATCGAATGGAAGGAAAAATTTCGTGTCGGGTATTTAAGCAGGCTCCCCGTCGAGCTACCATTATGTTTAAATTCAAACAACAATTTACTAAATTACATGTTTATACTCGAAATCGGTAATAAATCAGAAAAACAATGAATATCGGAGCCGCTCTCTGGTGAATATTTTAAAACTAAATGGAAAACAGAACGGCTATCTTTTCCAGTCTAGGGTTATTAAAAAAAATACACGAACATAAAAGCCCGGAATTTATAATGAACCATCAGAACTGCCGGTTTTTAATATATCGTACCGAATAAATTAAAACCGAACGAGTAATTTGAATACTTTGGAATAAATTCGTTAATATTTTAAACAACGAATTAACGTGATTTATGCCTACAACGACTACATAAATTCGTCCGGTAAATTACTCGATCAACTATCAA